GACTAATTGCACAGATGCCAGCGATTCGAATTCAATTATTCAGGGAATTCCATTAATTCCGAATTAGTTGGACGTGCCAACAGGCAACTTGATGCCGCCCCGGAAAGTATGCCACACTTGCCCCTGCCCATAAATACCCAAGGTGCACACGCACACACTCGTCGAAAAACCCAGAGATTCACTGCCACTGCCACAGCCGACAATGTGCAACAAGAATCCTTTCTGCGTGGCCAGGCCAACGCTTAAAGTTTGTTTTATGCAAGTTTTTATTGTTTAATAGCTGGGCGGAGTGGCCAGGGGCGATGTAATGCCCAAATCGAAGATGTCCTGCCAGGTGGATGACAAGGCGGCTTACCGCCAAATGACCGCAGCAGGCGCAAGGGGAAGGGGAGGGGATCCTGGAACCCGAGCCGCCCTACCAATTGCAAATTGCAATGTGTGCGGGTTCACACAGAAGGCTTTTGTGCAGCCCCGATTTTCCCTTACCATTTCCCATTTCCAGTTACCCACCGGATATAAAGTCAGGGCGCACGACATCGGCCATGTTGCTCGTATTTAAAGTCTGGCCATCTGCTCCGAGTGCACACAATTTGGGTTAAAATAATAGCACAGGCTTTTATTTATCTGAGTGGTTCTCAGAATGGCTGGAGCCCACTTAGACTTGCAGTCTTTGAAATATATTGTGACACTTATTAAAACCTTCGGTTGCACTTGATGTGGATATCTTCTTGATCGTAAGGGTTAATGAAATAATTTATATACTTCTCCTGATAGCTTACAAAGTATATAAACACCTGTGAAACGTAAACTTATCGTCTAAAAGAGCTGGCATTTAAAGGGCGCCTGTTTTGGTAGGAAAACGCAGTAATTTTCCATTCAGCTAGTAATTCACGGTCCACTGTGTGCAGCGCTGCTGCTGTGACCGCAGCTGTAGGTGAGATTGGGTGGCTTTTCAGTGGGTGGTGGGTGGTGTCCAGTGGGTGGCTGGTCAATTCCTGAAGCTGGTCGCTGGGTGGGTGGGCGTGTGCCACTCCCCCTGGGCCGGTGGCGTGTGCATTTTTTATGCACCCACATATCCACAGCTGTTGGGCGGCAGGCTTTTTGGGCATTTTTTTTTTCGGTGAAACATCACCACACCCTCAACCATGCAACCATACAACCATGCAACCATCAGGTGTCGGAGCATGCAGAATTCTGTGGCTTTTGATTGGCTTTTTCGGAAAAGCCGTCGCTCGTCGTAAAAGTTATAAATGGAGTTTAGAGCGAGGAGTTGTCTGCGGCGGTCAGCTCATAAATACGTCAAGTGCGGTTGGTAGCTACCTGCCTGCATTATGGATCAAATCCTCAAAGTAATTTTAGCCTGGGAAAGTTGGGCAGGAACGGGAGAAGAAAAACGGGAGCAGGTGAGGCACTATTTGCTCACGAACTGCGGCAGTGCAATGGAAAAACACACGGCAATGTAAATAAAATCGCTGGGAACACAATGTGGCAATGTGTGCCAAGCCGCAGACACAAGGGGGGAAATGGGAGGGGTTTCCCAACAGCAGTAAAAAGCAGCAGCGCCAACGGCAAATAAAAGCGTGCAAATAAAACTAAAGCAAGCAGCGGCAACTCGCGTTATTTACTAAATTTTGCATATAAAACAAAGGGAAACTGGAGTGAGAGAGTGGATGGTGTGGAAACCATAAACAAAATCAAGTACAAATTGTTAAAGTTTTCGGACTACAAGATGCCTCGCAGCAAAGGATGAAGCTAATATTTATACTTTTGGCTGAACAAATATTTCTTTCGGAAAATCAAAAATTGTAATGAAATCAGGACAGCATATGCACAAATTTCCAGTACCAGCAAACTCTTTTCGTGTTTCAAGCTAAGTGAAAATATAACTAAAGTGCTAACACGAAGATGAAGTATTTGTGGACAGTGTGCCTGAAAACCGCACAGAATCATTGAAAACACGCTGCCTTACGAACGAAGAAATGAGTTCATAGCATCCTTAGCTGCATTTTGTAGCATACTTTGTGGCTGATACTCGGGAGGGATCTCTCGTTACCAAGTAGCCGAAAAAGCCACTGCGCTTGGCAAATAAAATAGTATCTGGTGGAAAAACAAGGGGAACAATAAAAATTTACAACCAGCCAAAACAGGCAAAATAAGCAGTTACCAGCCCGAAAATGGAGGTGGTGGTGGGGGAAAACCTCCAAAAGACAAAGGAAAGCACGAGGGGAACTCAATAAATTGTCATGCAGTAAAATGTAGTCAGGGGCAGGGGGATGGGTGGGGGAGCTGCGGAAGGAAAGGAACCACGCGCGACTTTGTTTCAGGCGATGAGAAATGGCCAGGGGATTTCGCCGGGCGGAATGAATGGGAGGAGCGCAACGGCGGGGCACGTAAAATGCCAAGAAAGTAGCAGAGTGCAAGTGGCATGGCATGCAGATACATGCTTATATATCCTGCACAACCTGCCACCCCCCGCTGCCCACTTGTGTGCCCGAAAATCACATGTTCTGCTGCAGCGGGAAGGATGTGATTTAAGTTGCAGTGCAACATAGGCCGTGGGTACAAGCGGCACCAAGGAGCAAGCAACAAATGAGGCGACTGTCCTGCCTAAAGAGCCACATGCCAAGTGACATTTCGGCATTTGCACGGCATTTGCAGTGGAGGCCTGCTGAATTTTTCATGTCCTTCGCGCGGCATAAACTCACCTCTGCCACGGCTGCTGGCTTTGGGGACTGTAAATTAAGGCGACTCTCGCTTTATTGGCTCTTCGTGGCAGGGCCAGCATACACTTGCCGGAAAGCCATCTGAAATTAACAAAAAATATAAAAATACTATTGCTTAAAATATACATGCAAAACTATAAATCTTATAGTCACAAAAATATGTAGCTGTAGAGCATCCAAAGGTGCGGCCTCATGTGCGCGAGTTCGTGTGGCAAATGTCGTTGTTATTGCGGCTTCATTTGGCTTTCAGGTAAATGGTCTCTGAGCCCTGCGAGTGCATTAATCCTTTTTTATAGGCGGCGTGGAAATTGGCGCAAATTAAGTATACGTGGTGTGGGCCCGCAGCAAAGGCCATTTCTTGGCGCGACATTTACTTTGGCCAAATTGCATTAAAGTTGCATAAGTGCACAGGGTTTTTAATATTTAATTTGGCAAAGAGCTTTCCCAACACACTCGCATTCACAACGCCAGGATCTGTATGCTGGCTCCTTTCCGACTGTCCTCCTGCTGTTTTTTTGTCCTCCTATTTGGTGTGCTGCACTTAGAGCTGCCCTGGCGATAACGCCGCTGACATCCACGCTTAATAATATCCCTTTTCGCGCTGGAAAAACAAAAGCGCAGCCTTGTCTCTGTGATTTTTCCGTGCGACGGGCGGTGGGAAAAGTGGAAAGGAAAAGCGCAGCTCGCAAATGGAGATAAAAATTTGCGATGGCAAAGCCAAAGGAAGCGACGAAAAAGTAAAGCTAGAAAAAACAACAGCAACGCAGGCGGCAAAGTGCAGCAAAAGTATTTACAAAGCGTTATCACGCTGTGACCCTCTGCGCCACCCCCTCGCCCACCCACGCCCCTTTGAACTCTGAACCCCGCCCCCTTTTCGCCGCCCGCCCAACACGTTCGCTTGTTTATTTTCGCCGCTGGCGTTCGCTTCTCTAATTTCTGATGCGCTGCAGTTTTATATAGTTAAATAAAAAGGCGCTTAAGCAGGCGATAGAGTGTAATCATGGCGCGGGAATGGATTTCAGATGTGGCCAGCGGGAAAATCGGGAAAATTGGGGATGCGGGGAAACGGGGAAACGATATAGTGGAACTGCGGGCTGGGAGGGCGGTGGAAATGCCAAATTAAATGCGCATTCATCTTGCCCAGGGATAATGCAATACGAATTATTCGCTAAAAATGCCGAGCATTCACTGAAACCAATAATGCACAGAACTCGGTCATTCAAGCGCTTAGTGCGCTTACTAAATAATTGATAAAGCGATGCTATCCGGTATTAACTCTAAGCCAAGGGAATAAATTATACATATAAAGAGGAAAACAAGTATCAATATTCAGCTTTATTTGAGAGAGTTTTCCCGATGCTTTTCGCTTGTGTGGCCCATCGATTCCGGATAATCGAGTGGAGCCTTCGCTGTGGGAACATTTGCCGCTTTATCACCCCACTTTGTGCTCCTCTAAATTCAGCAGCTCATCTCCTATTCCATTTGGCCGAGCTTTACGAGCTGCTGCTCAAATTTAAAGCTCATCAAGGGAGAAGGATGCGCAGGATGTGAAATGCGATGGCTGTCTTGTCGAAATAGTTTCGCATTTTATAACTCACTTAAAGGCGCCGCCAGGCAGCAGGCCAATTAAAACGGGCAGACGAGCAGCAGCTGATTAACCTTGCCCAGGCCACGCCCACTGCCCACGCCACTCCCACTCCCACACACACACACACATATAGAGCATATTTAAAGTGAAGCCCAAGTGACCGTCGCCAGGTCACGTCGACGTCGTCTTTTGCTGTGTTGCAATGGTAATTGTGCGAGTGCAGCAATGACGTCAGCACACACACTGAGAGAAAGCGGCGGGTGGCCACGCCCCTGCCCACGGGGGGGCGGGCCCAGTGAGTTGCCACGGTAATTGTGTGCGCTGCTCCACGCTTCGCTTGGCAATATTGTTATGACCAAAAAACCAGGTCACAAAGGATCCAGCCCCTTCCAATCCTTCCCAATCCCTCCCAACCCTTTTAGCCCGACGCCACTGTCTTGGCCTCAGCTTTCAGCGTGAACGCGCGCATATTTTATTTGATTTATTTATACAAAAAAGTGGGAGAACGAATAATAAAATAGAAAAGGACGTCATAATTTAGTAAAATGTTTAGCAAAGTAGGCGGGCTGGAGTGCGAATTTCTGGAGGCGCAAATCCCCATTCCCGCTGCCAGTTGGGGATTTCTCAGCTTCAACTCTTGTGCTATTTTGCATTTAATATTTATGCCACTTTTCCCCTCTGTGTTGCAGGCATGCATCGGGCCCTCCAGCGCTCGAGTTATCCAGCCTCTCAGCTCAGCTGCTCAACTTGTCGACTTTCGGCCCAAACCGCTGACCAGGCCAAAACCTCGCAGGATCTCCGTTGCCAGGACGAAACAGAACAGAACAGAACGGAACGGAACGGCAACTGGCAGCCCTCAGCCATGGCCGCTGAATAATTAATGCAGTTTCGGTAAGTGCATTTGAGAAATACGTTCCCTTTTTGCAGTTTCGGTTCTCAGTTCCCAGTTCCCAGTTCTCAGTCCGCAGGTTGGCTTCGTTTAGTTCGAGAAAGTCCAAATGCAGGACGGCTCATTTAAATGCGCACTGAGAAACTGGGAAACTGGGGTTCTCCGAATTGCCCCTAAGTCAAGTTCAAGCCAGCGAGCAACATAATACAATCCAAATTCATGATGTTTCGGAACTGAAAGCCTTAGTCATAACTTCCAGGAATTGTTTGCAGTGCACCGAATTCTCCTTTTCCACAACTAAGCCTGACAAATGAAGTGTTCACTGCTCACTGCCTTCGAGGGGCGTGGCCATTGTCGCCCACGACCAGGCTCATGCATAAACCAATATGCGACATAGCTCCACTGCCCCACAGTCCAGTTTAGTTCAGTTCAGTTGAGTTGAGTTGAGTTGAGTTCGTTTCGCGCTTCGCTTTTTCTTTGGCTGCGCTAACGCGCCGGAAACGGAAATTGTCCACTAACAATGGCAACAAAATGGCAGCGGGCAAAAAGAACGCCATTGGTGGGCGGGGCGGGCTGATAGTGGACAGGCGGCTGGGAAAATTGTCCACTATTTTCACACATTTCGAGAGCTCCAGTGTGGCTCTGCTTTTTGGGTCACTCTCGAACCGCACTCAATGTTTTTAAGTGGGTCCTTTGCCAGCATTTCACTGAAGCTAACCTTATGTATTTGTATGGTTTCGTATATAGTTTTTGATTCTTGGGAACACTCGCATTTGTTGCCATCCTATTGCTCCTAACGACCAGAGTTCCACCGAGTTCGTCATCAAGTCCGCACTCCCTTTCCTCTGTCACTTCGCCCGGTCAGATCTGCGTAATTTATGTCCTGTTGCTGTTGCTGGGTTTATCTTAATGCTGTCCTGATACAACATTTTCATCGTTGTCATCGCTCATCGTTGTTGTTGCTGTTGTATTTGCAAGCTTATTGCCACTGCTGCTGCTGTGTGCGAGTGCACTGCGAGAAATGTGCTTTTCCCAACTTTTGGCATTTTTTAAAGGAGCTATTTATAAGTATGCAAAGGCAGAATGCTCAAGCCAGCCCCTCTTTTTAGGCAGCTGTCTGAATGGCCTAATCAGATTTCATTCCCACTGGGCTTTTCTCTGAGTGCGCTCGTGCACTGCTTATCCTTATCCACAACATCGCCTTGTCCTTCTTGCTCTCCTTCGCCTCTGCCGCGCTGCCCGTCGTTTGTTTTGTCATTCAATTCAATGAGGCTAATGTCCGCTAAGACCCCTGCCACGCCCCCCTTAGGCGGCCCCCTCTACGCCCATGTTCTCGGTTTGGTGGCTCTTCTGCGTCCATTGCTTCATGCTGTTGTTGAAGTGCCATTAAGTTTAGTTGTCACTTAGCCTCTTTGCTTTTATATGCCTCTCTCTCTGTCTCTCACCTCTACCTCTCTCTTTCGGCCCCTGTTCCCGCTGTCTCTGTCTCTTTTGCTGTTGCTGTCCCTTTCTCCGTGCCCTGTCTGCTGTCCGCTTGTCGCTTGTCGTCTGCCGACCGTTGTTGTTATCCTTTTGGCTTGAACGTCTTAAGCGCCTAATGCCAGGGCCATAAAAAGTCCAACTAATGCTTTAAAGTGTGCCACACACACACACTCACACACACAGATGGCCAGAAGGAGATAGAGGTAGCTACACAGAGAGAAATATGGTAGGATTGGTCACCCAGCTGGTCATTTCTGTCTACAACGGATCTGGTACTTCTTGTACTAATAATACCGATAGCAAGTCAATATGTTTTCGCTGGTTTTTCGGTGCAGCAGTTTAAGCATTTGGCTGCAGGACAACTACAAATGGCAACTCCTGTTTTTGGCCGGCTTGCAGGACCTCTCTTATCTGGCCGGCTTTATCGATCGTTTTGTGTGTTGTCTTTTGGCTGTTTGACTTTCGGCTTTAAGCGAGTCCATCCTTCCGCTTGCCGCTTGCCACTTGCCACTTGCCTCTTTATTTTTATTTTTATTTGGACTTTCATTCGCTTCGTTTTCGCTTGTCGGCCTGAAAATTGCGTGTTAATTTTCACACAAACGGAGACAGTCGCATTTTCCACGTATTCTGTTTGCGCTCTGCCGTTTTTCCAGTCGGAAAACGTTTGTGTTTACAAACGGCTTTCGTTGAAGTATTTGCATTTTTATTGTCTCCTTTGCTTCATTAGCCGATCGCCAGATAGCTGCCTCGGATTTTGTATCCTTCTGCGTATCCTTTTGGCGTGGATTGTGGCCAAAAGTTCATCTAAATTAAGTGCAAGCCATTTTCAATTAACTTTCGACGAATTCAACTTGCCCGTAAACTTGCAGCCAAAAATGCAAAAACTTTTCCAGCAACTTTCCGGCACTTTTCGTTTTTGTTGCCGTTGCCGATGAATTTTCATTACGCTGCATATTTGTTCTCTTTGCCAGTTTTTCTCCATTTTTTTTTGTTTTTTGTTTTTTTTTTTTTTGGTTTGCATGTAAACAAGCCGCGCCAATTTGTTGCCCCCTTACAAAAGCAGGCAGAGAATTTTCGACTTCAAAACTTGTCAAATTCTGCAGAGCAGAAACAACAAAACCAGTTCTGAGTGGCAGGACATGGGGTTGGATGGGTGAGGTGGAATAATTTCGAGTTCGAGGGCATACATTTTGGAATACATTTTGGCCTTTAATGGTAGGAAGAAGTGCATTAAAAATGCAGATACAATGCCCCGAAAACGTCTGACAGGAACGTCAACGGAAGGGGGGGAAATCGGAGGGCGTTTCTCTGTGTGCTTGTGCAAATTTCAAGTTGTCAATTTATGATTATGGCACCTCATGAAGCGGGCCGAAATGTAAATTATACCCCAACATCGCAGCGAAATGAAAACCCGAGCGAGTAACAAGCCAAATTGCATGTGCGAAAGCTCGAAAAAGCCGTGTAGTCGTGTGGCAGCCTTAAAGTTGTCTGGTTACATTTAACGCTCTTTAACGCCGAATTGACTCCACTCGCTGCGTTGTCGACGGAGTCGTTGTTATGTAAATGCAAATGAAAATCGCGATTTTCCGGCTGCCAAGCGCCGCCAACCACCTGGCCATTTCGCTCTATCGACAGGCAGCGCAGGTGCAATCAAATATTACGTATACGCCGCGTTGTGCACAATAGTTAGCAATAAAGTCGGCGAGGCGGGGGCAAGGCAGTAACTTGGCTAGCAAACTGTCAATTTGGTCGTTGCCTCAACCGTCGTTGTTGCCGCCTTTATTGCTCTTTACCTTATAACAACGTTAAGGGGCCGAGAATATTGAATTACTCGAAATGTGTGGAAAATGAGCGGAAAGAAATGGCATTACAAGGACCAACAGGAACAGCAGGACCAGCAGTTCATCGAAAGTTGCGGAAACTTGAGCTTTAAAATGCTATCATTTGGTGTCTCAAAGGATCGATCAAAACGCTGTGAAACTACATTATATAATTGATATTGATTAATTTTCCACAAACTGGCAGCAAAGGTAGCAGGAAAATCGATCCATCCAGCAATATTGCATTTCAATCGCCGTAATTCGACTTGGTCGAAGTCTCAATTATTTTTTTCCGGCCAGCAGTTGTTGTGCCGTACGGTGTGCACTCGCTTGCGCGAAAAGCGCTCTGCATTTGGTGAGCAGTGCTCATGTGGGGGGCATAAAATTTGATTGTGATTGAAAGGTGTAGCCTACTTTCGGCGCATATAAAATGCATGTAATCAAGCGAAATGGCAGTGGGCCAAATGAGATCGTCGGCATTCGCGGCACATGGGAAATGGTGGGGGGAAATGGGGGGAACGGGGGGAACTGGGGGCATTTGCATTTGCAAACAACGCCCTCGGACAATAATTGAAATTTGATTTGATTAGTTTCGATACAGCGGTTGCGCCTGTAATTGCCGCTGTGTCCGCCATTTGGTTAAATGAAAATGTCAAATTAATTTCATTGTATTTTTGCGCGGCGCTTAAGCTGGCCGCCTTTGCAAATCCCTTTATAATTAAGTCGACCGGAGCGGAAAGGAGCGGCGGCGCACTGAAAGTCATTTAACAATATGAAAAGCTGCTTCGCTCCCACCATAATTGAACTATTTGGTTTTCATAATTGAAATTTCCCCCAGACAATTCAATAATAATTATACAGAGATGCTCTGTCTGTCTCCTGCGGCACGTGAAAAATTTCATTAAGTAACTTATTGCTATTATTTGCATTCCTTTCTGCGGCAAAGATAATTCGCAGTATTTTTTGTTATTCTTTTTTGTGTGCGGAACTCGTGCCTTTGTCCCCGTCGTAATTAAATAAATATTAAATATTTTCCGAGCAAAGGCGGCAAAAACTACAGCATTTAATGCTCTTCCCTCCACTTTTCGCAGCCAAAGTTGCTCGATATTATTGCCGAGATATTTGCGCATATTTGAGCGCTTTAATGCGGCCATATCGATGGGAAGTGGGGAGAGGCGAGGAAAAGCGGGAAATGCGGGGACAGCCCGAATGGTAAATGATGAAAAATGCTCTGCATTTTCCGCACCTTTTTGTGTGGCCAAGCGGAATAAAAAGGAGCAGAGCAAAGATCCAAGAAATAAAGAAGCCAACGCACAAATATTGGCTCGCTATTTTTTCGAATGAATTATGACTGCGTCGAGGGTCGTTGGGTGGGCGGAAAAGCGGTCGGAAAAACTGAACGCCGAGGGGTGGCGGCAGCTCTGTGGCGGAAGAAAGAAAATTTTCAAGAGGGTCCATGATTGGACGAGTGGCCAGCCAAAAGGTGTTCGAGGTAGTTGAGCAAATAGTTTTATTGAAACCGATATTAGCATATGCCACGAATCGGGGGAAATCGTGAGAATATTGGGGGAAAACTGACAGATTGTGGGCAGCTAATCAGTGGGGCGAATCATTATTTTAATGCTGTGCACCAGAGACTCTATTTCGTGTCCTTCCCAGTTGGAATAATGTTGAGCTGCATTGGTTTTGGTGCTTCAAGG